CATCTCCCCAGAGTTATGCTTCAAAAACCAACATGATGCGGAAACGACCTCCGCCGGGTTCATCGTCTCTAGAGCTCCAGTATTCTGCACTACCGGGCTGATTCAACGCAGCTATTATTGGCAGAGGTTTGTGGATTCTAACAGTCTTTACTCCAATCAAAAAGGTTTCGAATGAGCCGAGATACAGGCATTTGAAAATCAAGGTCGAAAAGCGCAAGAACTTTCTTCACGACCTAATATAATACAGAAAAATAAGGAGAAAAGAGAAAGAGAAAAGGGTTAAAACGAACAAGAGAAGGATAGTGAGGTGGTCATGGAGTAGGACAGAAATGAACTGAGATGGCAGCCTTAAAGTCCTACACTGTGGCCGGCGATAAGGCCGCACTCATCATCCGGAAGACCGAATGAGCTCCCAAATAAAATCCTTGTTCCTCGTTCGAACGCGTTCGAGTCTAATAACGAACCAACTGGACCAAGACTAACAAATTAGGCTGGGGCCCCAGGCGGACAACGTGGGGAGACCTAAAGTGAGGGATCGATCAACTTTCAGGCTCAGCGTGCAACTAGAAGGCCCTTTCGGCACCAATAGGGCACCAACAAATCAACGATAGAAAGGTAGATATTGAGTTCAACTTCGATCCAATAGTACTTACTAAGTGAGTCCTATAGCACTTTCCATAGAGGTAAGGTATCCATTGAGCAGTTGTATGCTCTTACTGGGTAATACAGAAAGTCCTGCGACCTTAACAGCTTTTAAGATTGCACATTCTTTTCTAGAGAGGATTTTCATTCAACAGGATTACCACTAGCTCATAACGCACTCTTTCATGGGCAGCTGATCTACTCTTTTACAGTAGTATTCTGGCGGTTCTCGTCAATGGCGTCATTTGGCGGCAATCTGGGCGCGCCAAAGTATATTGCGAAAATTAGTCATCACTGGAGATCGAACTCTAGATTACTAGTTCACCACTGTTTTGACATTCCTGGAGCGTTAAGCGCTCCATGTCCTGAAAGTCCTTCCCCGTGAGTGCGGGCTATCGCTCTTGCCATCCTAGACTGGCAGCTATCGGCAGCGCCTCCGGGAAGTTGAGCGAACGCTCATCATCCTTTCGCACAGCCAACCGGAACGGTGCTTATTTTGAAAGAAATAACTTAACCTGCGGAGCCAGGACGATTAGGGTTCTATGGCGCGGTAAATAACCTCTTCCTGAAGCTTGTTGCGACGGATCAAGCAGGGTGTCCCTTCAGGAACTCGTAGCACCAGTTTCCTGCCATATCAAAAAATATTAGGTTGGCAAAGAAATGTTCTGCGACACTCTTTCTAAAATTTTCTTTTTTTCTGAAAAATTCATAGGTAACATTTATGACTAACAAATGGTAGAGCATTCTCGAGGCTTTAATCCACGAGGTGGATATAAGTGCTGCAGTCAGTAGTTATCCAAGAAAATTCAAAAAACCTCGACCACTAGTAAATCCATACTCCGAGTCACTGTCTAGTACAAATGTCTCCATAACTATGGATTCGTGTCAAAGACCAACACTATCTGCAATAGCTTCAATAGGCATGTCGTTCACCGCTACAGCGTGTTTCACCTTTACCAGCGCTTCCGATCTTTTGATATTTTTATAAGGAGTTGGCAGCGTCCATTCGTACACTCCATTACAGGTAGGGCTCTTACAGAAGCCCCACCTGTAATGGAGTGTGAGGGACGTTTGTGATTTTGTGAAGGACGGACCGACATAACATTTCCTTCGTTATGGGCACCTTTGTGTAGATAGAGGCCTATGCTGTGGAATACCAGAAGCTGGCCGAGGCAGCTCGTCAGGAGCCCTCGTACCGCGACAATATTCATTTCTTTCATTAATTACGGATCACCATGATCCAAAATAAGCCCGTTAAGGCTGGTGTCAGAGTCCGCGATCCGTCGCAGGTTTCGCTGATTTTCGCGATTTGCGCGATTTGCGCGATTTGCGCGAAACCTGCGACGGATCGCAAAAATTGCAAGTGTGTGAACATTTGAAACACTGAATATGAAACAAGTGGAATCATGAGCAGTCGTCATTCAGCCATCACTATCAAGCAGAAGTGGCGGCAGGATTGGAGAACACCTTGCAGTATTGATCGGGCACTTGTGATTTCCGTGACCCGTCGCGTGAATCGCGCAAATCGCGGAAATCAGCGAAACCTGCGACGGATCGCGGACTCTGACAACAGCCTAAGAAATTCTGGAGTTGCGGCAAGATTTCTTACCTCTCTTAGCGTAACCTCCTGGTCGAGCTATAAATGACTGCAACCTATCCTGGACCTTAATCATCATCTTGATGACGAAATAATTAGACGATCAACTCCAACTCGAAAGTGAGGTCGCCTCCTTTCTCGACCCGCACTCCGCTGGGTTTTGGAAAAAGCATCAAGAAATTTTCTGAGCGTTGAAGACAAGTGGTGGACACTCATGGTAGATATAGACCGGTCAGGAGTTGTAAACAAAAAAGATAAAATTAAAATCAAAAATTTGAAAAAGTGTTGCAGGACTTTCTTTCCAACCTAATAAAATACTGCCAGCCCGCTTCTGATTGTCGATCTCATAACTATGATTTTCTAAATATTGCACCTGCTCTGTCCATCTTCAGATTATTAAGATAATTTTCTGAATCTGTGCAGTGAATCAATGCAAAGAATGACGAGCCAGATTTTGGTAGTGCTGTATCGTGTTGCTGACGCTGGATCATGGTCCTCTGCTGATTTCAAACGAGAAATTCACAGAAAATTTAGACTTTTATCAACTCTGTACACATTGTGGCGAAGGAACCAACATTAAACAGATAGGGAACATTTGGTCAAAAAAAAAACCAAGGTTAGTAATAAATATGAGATCAGCGAGTATTCGTCGAAAGTCAAACGAATGTTTCGTATTAACAAATTCGCCCATACAACAGATATGTGAGGAGCGGATATTGTATGTTGAGGAAAAAAAAATATTCTCCATCGTGAAAATCATCCTACGGGAAACGATGAAGTGGTCAGTGAGATAGATATAAAGTATTGAAAGGAATCAGGTAGTGCTTATGTTAACCGGTTTCGCGCTAAAGTTCGTAGAATATCGCACGCATTCGCACTAGATCTCTTCTTCAGTACTGCAATGAAGTACCAAAGCTGCAAAGCTCATTTTGGAATATGTATTATAGGAATAGCTAGTATAACTCAAAAATACTCGGAGATCTGTGAAAATGTGAGCAAAGAATAATAATTCATGAGAAGAAAGAATGTCTACAACGGATGATTAGAAAGAATATAGTTCAAGAAGTATTATGTGTTGACTTCTCTCCTTTCGTTTGCCTCTATCTCCTCCACTGGAGAGAATGACCCTTCGTTCGTCAGCAGTTTTTGTCGCAACCACTTCAGTGTAATCCAGTCCAGCAAAGTAGTAGAAACTCCTACAAACGATGAAATATAGGAAAGCTCAATAGGTCAGTTGGCATGTGTTATACACCGTGTTCCATTCGTCTGGACATATTGAGAAAGGAAGCGGTCACGGAAATTCCCATGGAGACGATAGGGAAAGTGACATAGTGGATTGGGTAGGGGTCCTACCCAATGGGACGACAGGTGACGCTTCAGGGGCAGTGGCGCCTTATCAACGGCGTGATAAGGCGCCGAAACCCACTTCCGGTTCGGCGTTGCACCTCCTTATCAGACGTGGAAGGGATGCAAGTAGCAGCGTGCTAGATATGATACGGTTATCGTTATCGTTCGATTTTCATGCTGGAGTGCACCTCATTCAAGCAGCCGTATCTTCTTATCTAATCGTATCGTATCTTCCATAGGGTTACGCTCGTCCAACACTATCTATCTCCGACCTTATCGGTTGATAACGCGGAGTTCGGCGATCCACGTGGAAGCCAGCGTGACCGCTTCCTTTAAAATTACCCTATTCGCTAAACGTTCCTCAACGGAATTATAGATGTCGGTCAGACTCTGCGATTGCATCGCGCGATGCAGTCGCTCTTGCAATGTGCACAAGCGACGGGCGATTGGCATCGCTCCAAAGTGCGAGCGACGGGAGATTTACCCCGCCGACGACCGATACACACGGCGCCGCTCGGGTAAATCTCCCGTCGCTCGCACTTTGGAGCGATGCCAATCGCCCGTCGCTTGTGCACATTGCAAGAGCGACTGCATCGCGCGATGCAATCGCAGAGTCTGACCGACATCTAAAACGAAAATGCGCAGAGTAGTGTTCGAGTTCGACGGCCAAAAGTCGTGAGATGAAGTATTGCAAAGTATGGTCTTTTGCTCTTTCGGCAGGTAGTCAGAAAAACATTTGGCGCTCAGGTCCTTAGAGAGGGCATTCAAATCAGGGCTGATGGTAAGTGACACTGGACTAAATCCCTAACGTAAGAGGAAAAGTACGTCAGGGAGAGCCAAGGTACTCATATTTTCCTTCAGAATCCCTTCCCTCCCTAAGCTTAGCCAGTACCAAATACAGTAACCGGCGTGTAGCAAACGTGCCTGCTTAGCCAAGGTCCGGGATTTCTGGTAGAATTTTCTTTGGTTTTTTTTTTTTGGGGGGGGGGGGGATGCGGCGCTATGCAAGTGAAAAGCATGATCCAGCATGAGGTGTAGAATTGACGCCGCTCAAAATCGCTGACCCCGCCACAAATCAGTTCATTTCGCTCCACTGCTACTGAAGATGGAGGGTTAGTTTTCTCCCATAAAGGAAGCGATTACGATAAGGAATTTTCGCATCGGGGGAGAACCTGCGCCACACGGAGCAATTACTTGGCTGCCAAGGAAGCGATGTGTGGCCCTCCCACGGCGAAAGGTGCTGTGGTTGCTGAGCAGGACCCGCGTGACGCCCCGCCCCCAGTGACGTGACGCCCACTAGTTTTGTTGATGATCTGGATGGACTGTTTGCTGTTGGCTTTTCATTTTGGATGATCATTTCCCTTCTAGCGGCTGTATCTTCCAACTTGCCCACGTATTGCCTTATCAATCAAAACACTATGCTTGTTGGCATGATGGCGGCTATCGGGGTTAACACGTCCGAACAACGTCGTTCTTTACCGTCGCTCATCCATGGTCGAAAATGAAAGGGCAATCAAAGGGGTACTATTTTGCTTATTTTTGACGGATTTCTTTGCTTTTTCGCCATTGGCGTACTATTGAGACCCTCACGTCCCCTCTAAACCCCTGTGAGATCTATCGTAATCGCTGTTTTTAATTAAGTTTCTTCCAATTTTTCATCACTGGCGTTACACTTCACAACTTCGCTGTCAATTACAGCACGATAATACATCAGCTCGATTCCGCACTTTGCCACAAGGACGCTCCGCCTTCTCTAAGCTCCCTGAGCGAACCTCCTGTACGTCGCGCGTCCAAAAATCTCTCCCAGTAGCAAGTGAGTGATAGGTCGACGACTAAAAACGGCTTCAGCATCCAGAGAAAAGAATGATATAGGTAAAGTTAGCATAAAAGTCAAAAAATACTATAGCCAGTAAAAGGCAAACGAAGCCGAATTCGTAACCCTGAAGAGATCCATGAGTTGCCACAATTTGCGCGCGCTCGCAGGTTTGATAAAATAGAACACATTGTTTGAAGCCATGAAGTAACAAAAGAACGTCGCAACGTACCATCGATAACTGTATCGAATGTTGCGCCCATTATGATTTGTGAATAGACCACACAGCAAAGAAGCAGGATGAACTGAGCAAGAATGACGAACGGTTGGTAGCCTTCGGAATTGAACCAGCTCTAAACTCACAGCTATTAGTATTTGACGTACGCTACTCGCCCTGGAACTTCGAAAATTCACGCGGAAAACGCGATTTCGAGTTTTCAGTTTTTGTTATAATTCGGTTTAGCGAGTTTTCCGGTTTTGAAATACCTACGATTCTTTCGCCATTGGCGTATTATTGATACCCTCACGTCCCCTCTAAGCTCGTCGAGGCCTACCAAGTGTTGGAAGAACTTCATCTAGGAATGCGCCACGCACTCGGGTTTCACCCCGAGAAGTAATTTTTCGTGTGATGCGTATGCAACATGATCGATCTATAAAAGAGGGTATCAACATTCGCCTCAGATGACGCGCTATGTGCTTGACGTCATCCACTACATTGATCAGAGATTGATCGAATTTTTTTTCAGATTCCAAGATTGACCTTTGCTTCATTTTTACGCGCTGGATAACTACTGTTAGTCCCTGCGCTCAACGTCCGCTTCTCTCGTGTTCGAATGAGAATCTAGGACTGTTCCAGAGAGTTTAGAAGGCCTATTTTACCAGACGAACTAACAAAGCTGATGTTTACTTGAACTGCTATCGAATGATATATAAAACAGCACACAATCAAAAGTTTTTCCATCGTTTTTGACCGTCGCCTTACTGCCGATCGAATTTCCTGTCCCTTGACGACCACATGCAATACACAAACGACGATTACAATGGAAGGCCATAGGCCGTACGAGCTCTCATGCACTGCGTATATGAAACGCACGTGATCTTCAAGGGCCAGGAAAGTTGGGTCGACCGTGCGATGCGCAAATTTCATGATTTTGCGATCCCCTCACCCTTCCCCTTTCAGTGGGTATCAGTATTACCTCCTTGTACCAGCCTATTCATGTTAAAAGGAAACCACTAAAGGAGAATGAAATATCGAGAACGCTCACCAATCCACTGACGATAAAATGCGAAACACGTGGCCACAATCGCTGGAAGTGCCCATAGCTTCCCTTTTTGCACTCTGTGACAAGAATCCCAAATCTAGAAATACGAGAGCAATCATGCTTGATAACTAAGACACGTCCTGAACTGGATCTCCATTCATAATTGCGGGAATCTGTTTAACACGATTCAATAATTAATGCCTTGTTTACATCAACCGGTGAAAGAAAAAGCTGATTGATTAGGATAGTCGGACACACGAACAATGTGAAGGGCCTGAGTGGGTCTAATTTTTCATAACCCTACACTTTATCTTCGTTGCGTCAAACACTGACGAAGCAATTGATGGTATCAATTAGCAACAGCATGGATCATGTATCTGTCTCCTTTTTACAATCTTTACAAATAATAAGCCGAGGGATGCATTATTCAAACGACAACATTTTCTAAGAAAAAGTAACGATTTCGCCTAAAAAAGAAAGCCTCGAACTTGGTAATCCTCACCATTATCGTCCACACAACGCCGAATAAGCTAGCTAAGCAACCTGTCAGAGCATAGTAGAGAGGAAGATATGGACCGGCGTAAAACATGTCGCGTTTATTCTCCTAAATAAATTACTCACTAAACGTGGCTGCAGTAGTGGGAAGCAGGGGGATCGTAGTCCCAAACATAAAATCACGTACTTTGACAGCTCGTGGAAGGCCAATTGTAGCCGGCCCAGCAAACTCAGCGAACACGTTCATTGTTAGAAACAAAGCAGCCATCACACCCATGCCAAGACCGCAGACCTTCAATGTGGATCAATCCTTCAAGTTCAAGCATAGAGACTGCTACTCAAAAGTGAATAAAAGAGAAATGGCTACAGGAAACGCAAACAAGGCTGAGAACATTAACCCATATCTATCTTCACTCAGATGAAACGGATGATAATTGGCAAGACAAAGAAGGAAATTGATTATGCGGCGAAAGAACAAATGGATGCGCGACATCATTGGTAAAATTTAAGTCAGTTCAAAAATGCACGTAAATAATTGCCAGAGCAGGAAAGGAAAAATGATAAGTAAAAAATATCGGTAGCGTTTAAAAAGTAGAGAAAACAAAGCTAGTATAAATAAAAAGACAAATGCAACAAAGTGAGTAAATTCTGAAGTGTGTAAACTAACCAAAGCAAGCATATGCCTAGCGTTGTGAAGATCAGAAACGCCTGGAGCAATTGAAGAGGCGCCAGGAGCAGTGATCTAATGGTTGAGACCCCTCTTTAAAAATAATTTTTTCTCTCTGTGGAAAACTAAGTGAGAACTTGGAGTGAACGGAAATAGTGAATTTTGAATAGCCAACTCATATCAAAGAACAAATATATTGGGTTGTCCAGAAAGTCTCCGCCGATTTTGACTCTCAAGTTTCAAAAGTGCATATCCCATTTAAAACAAAGAGTCGCTCGCTCGAAAAATAAAAAAAATCTATTACAGGTCCGTCGTACCTTTGCCCTACAACGAACCGGTTTGAACGATCATATTGGGAGAGAAGGTCGAGATTTGTGAGCTAAGAACTCGGCAAAGGTCGTTTTACCACCATGTTGGGCTCAATCTTTTCCGTAGTCCCTTCCAGATGGTTGAAAAGGTGATAGTTGGTAGGTTTGGTGTGTAAATATTTACAGACATTTCGTAGTGCGGCTAGTTTTAAGACATGGAGTCTTCGAGATGTGGCTGTGCAACAGTGATAGGATAGGCCGGCGTCGGCGAAATTTTCTTCTTCTGGAAATCTTATGTAGTTTACGCACAATTCAAAAGCAGCCTGCTCAACAGTTTCATGCAGGTGTGGTTTGGCCAAAACCCTCAGCTTATCTTTATCAGTCTCCGATTTCACCAATCTCCTCCGGATCTTTCAGCATCGCGAGAAGGACATTTCGACTTATGAATACACAGCATATTTTCTGTGGATCCGGGACCAAATGCTCAGTTGATATCGCAACTTGCTTGCGCACATTTCTGAACAATTTTAAGATGAAACGAGAAACTAGTGCAAAGCAGGCTGCTAACTATTGCATTAAAGACTTAAAAAAAAGGTTGAAAGTGACCAGAAAACTAAAGCATTCAAAAGTGAGCTTCGAAAACGACGGAAACTTTTCTGGACAGCCAGTACTTCCAGAGCCACCTGTTAAAAACTTGATAAAACGAACCTTTGCGCTTTTTTCAATAGCCAGAAGTAGAAAACTCGTGCGGCATCTTGCAAAATGATAGAACATGCTACAGCTACAGGAAGGGCATCCCACACCATCGACATTGCTAACCAAATAACATGACAGTCACCAAAGTAAAGAAGCTAGCCAGAGAAAGGCACTGAAAATTCGAATTTACTAAAAAAAGCCACACATAATCGTGTAAGAAAATGCACTTACCCTAGCACAAAGAGTATAATTCGGAGAGAATCCTTGGCGATGAAACGACAGAATACGCGGCTGACAGATAACGCGGCTGATGGAGAGAACGTGATGAGATAGCAAGCGATAGTTAAACAGACTCCCATCGGAAATTTCTCAGCGAAAGACCTGTAAAGAAGATGGTGACGACATGATGTGAATAGGTAATGGTTGGCTGTAAATGAACAACAGCTATTCAAAGACAATTTCTTCTGATAAGCTCATCAAGATTCAATTAAAATGTTCCAACTAAGTCTGTGATCATGGCTTGCGACCAGCGAAGATTAAAAAAGCAAGCGACCGTAGAGAAAATATGTATTAATTGGGATGTTGGGAGTAGGAAGGAGGAAGATAAGCAGATGTTTCCGTAGTTCCACTCAGGAGAGTAGTAGATTAGGGTGGTGCGCGAAAAGATTAGGCCGCGTTCATAGTTCGCGACTCGGGAGATTAGGATAGTAGGCGACAGGATATTAGGATAGTAGTAGAGTAGGAGATTGCGCTGACAAGATTGGATACGTATCGATTGAAATCGCTGGAGAGTAGTAGATTGGGCGACTTCAAGCGAATAGATCAATACATATCTAATCTTGTCAGCGCAATATCCTCCTCTACTATCCTAATCTTCGGACTCGCCAACTATGAACGCGGCTCAATATCCTATCACCTACTGTTCCAATCTCCCAAGTCGTGAACTATGGACGTGGCGTGGTGAAAATGCTTCCAGCTGATAAAATTCACAGGACACAAACATGAACAGCAGCTTGACAACTGAGCTCAAAGAGATGGTGCGAGTCGTAACCACGTCCCGCCGGCTTTAAGATTGTATTAAAACTGCAGAAGTGAGTCGTTAAAGCAAAGAATCCACATGATTAAGTGCCGCTATTGAAGCGAGAAAAGTTATCCGACAAACGTGTGCACTTCTCCCTCAATATTAGTGTCAAGTTTCGTGTTTCCGCGAAAATGAGCGAAACCCAGAAGGGGTCCTATTTTGTTCAGAAAAAAAAGCAATAACATAAAAAAGCAATGAGATTAAGAGATTCACGAGAAAAGTTGCACATTAAAATCAAAATAAGACTCAATCTGTTGAAGAACGAACGTTATCAATCCATTTTACGTGAAAAGGTAACGTAAAGATAAAAGTGAGCACAATAGACAGGTTTAAAACCTGTAAAACTATTGAATATGATTATTATTCCAACTTTATTACAATACGGTTAGAGGAACAATTAAATGAAAGAAAAGAAGGTCAAGCAGATGGGCAACAAATATCTATTAACTTGCACATTCACACCAATACCCATCAGGTCAAAACTGGTAAAATAGTTTCTTTTCCAAAGAAATACAGTACTCTAAAGAAACGACGAGATTAGAAGCAGCAATGGAAATCACAGAGAACATAGAGAAAACATCTAAAGCACAATCGAATTATCACCCAACCAAAATTGAATATACATAAGACGGATTGCATTTTTCTACACAAAGTGAACAACTACGCACAACATCACCCGAATGGAACGATTCTCAGAAATACACATAGTGGATATATCCTATAAAAATGTCAAAAGACTAGCGGCATGCTGCTACCCAAATGCCGTTATACAAAGGGATTATCACGCATTCAACTAGACACTCAACAAGCTGTCTAATGAAATTCTGCTCAATTAAAAACTTCCTATTCCCGATGAGAAACATGTGGAACAAAAGGAAGTTGCTTGGCGACAATCCAAGTCCGGTCAACTTCACTCCGGAGGAGCTCCGCGCTGTCTAGCGCTTAGTATAGTGGTGGATGCATTTCCTCTATCAAAACGTGGCAGTATAGTTTTAGTAGGATCGGAGGTTTCGAGATTTCTGAGCATCAGTATCTTTTCGATCCTAGCTATACTTGATTCCTTGGCCGATGTCAGACTTTGCGAATCGAGCGATTCGCTAGCGTCTGCGGTCGCGTCGCGGCCAGTGAATCACTCAATTGGCTGGTACCGCAACGCGACCGCGGACGCTAGCGAATCGCTCGATTCAAAGTCTGACATCGGCCTCTGATAGAAATTTGCGTCTATCTTCTATAGGTCTATTAAAAAGGCACCCTCTTCATCAGAGAAAAAGGTATACCCTTGTATAACAGCAGTGGTATGGAGGTTAAGAGGCGAGCATGCAGCAAGAGTCTGATTTGAATTTTAGTATTTAGCATCCAAGTAATAAGGCAAGCGTTTCAGATATCAACTAATATTAGGAGAAGTACAAATGGTATTGGGCCCAGTTCATTACTATGAAATGATGGACTAACACAGTAAGGTACACATATCCCTCAATCGCATAACCATCTTGGGTACTGGATGCAGTTGTGTTAAATGGAGGCATAGAAATAGAAACTGGCACGAATAAAAAGTAAGAAACATCATTCAACTCCATTCATGCAGTTCTTCAAGTAAATGCTTTGTGAATTTTAAAACTTCAAGTTTAGGTTCTAATGAGAACAAGAGTATAGTCTTTTTGACCGTCCCAGTTAGTTATGGCTAGTTTACTTTAGCATACGATGGTGGGGAGAATTTTCTCCGAAGCGCTTTAACAACGTATAATGGTAGACAAGACACGGCTGTTATAGCTGTCGTCTTCGAAATAAATATCCATGACAATACGAATTGTCGGTCGAAATATTGATCAAGTACGATGAGCGAGACTGCATAAAGTCCAAGAGATAAAGCCTGTATAAATCATAGATATGATAAGTCTCTGAAAGGTGCTAACAGTACATTGTGTCGTGGCCTACCTGAGCAAGTAACATAGCCCAATGCCAAGTATGGACAGTCATAGCAACCATAATGAGTTCCGTAACTATAAGTGCAGAGAAAGATATCGAAACGACATGAATAAAGTCCGCATCGAAGACCAGCAGCGCACCATACATTATTACGGCTCCTTAAGTCAGAGATTGAATAGAACTAGGTAAATTTGAGTGACCGAATTAATTCAGTAATTTTACCTTGGTATAGACTGATCATAACCCATATACAAAATGTTTTATAGGATAACGATCGGCCCTTTCCAAGTTCTTTGTAGAGTTCAGGATACGTGAGAGCATTCGTAGCGGTAACGTCACGATCAACAACCAAAGAGAAAACCGGAAGCATAGTGTATGCCGTAGAATATCTGGAAGAGATTGATCAGTAACGTACTGTTGAAAACCAACACTGGAGTGTGTTGAGATCATAGAAAGTATGTCATTAAAGCCAGTAAATGATCAAAACCAAAACTTACGCCACCATCAGCACTCCTTGATACAGCGAAACAGATGCAAAGTAAAACACGCATGAAAATATGGCCTGCATTGTAGAAATTATAAGGCCTCTGAAACATTTTAGAACATAAATTCCAAACATTCAGTAAACATCTGCATTTGATATTTCTAAAACTATGTCTTTCTTTCTTCAACATTCGCAAAATTCGGCATTACATAAAGATTATCTGTGAAGTTGGATCAAGTTTGAGGAGGGAGAAGCATGGGCCAAGATACGTACAAAAAAAACGCAGGAATTGCTCAATGGATGGGCTCGCTGGGACTCGTATCTAGATTAGTGGAACGCCTTTAGCGCACCCTCTCCTTCTCCCCTTCTCCCCACTGATGCGCTGCAACCTAGGACTCGGAAGTAGGCTATCTTCAGAGTCGATGACTCGTGTGTACGGTTTAGTTCTTGCGCCTTCGTTATGGGGTCTGCAGTATCGAGACTGCGCAGAACAAATTCAACTTATTGCGCTCTGAAAGTTCAACTCCGCCGACGTTTCACGGATGGCAAGGAGGGAAGGAAGTGGAGCATGCCCGTAACAGGGTGATGCCTGCTACAAACATTCACAACTCTGTAAAACTAACTGTAACTGGGCTGCTGTAAAAACCGAGAAAAAAAAAGGTTTGAGACAGCTGAGGAAGACAGGTCAACTGCCAATGGTAAGCTGAGCGTGCACCGAGGAAGAAAGGTCTAAATTCGAGTCCCGTTACGCCGTTCCATTTCTCTGACGCCCGTGTGACGCAAGGGTTGATGTATGAAGCGAAAAATAATATGCTCTGAACCGTCGAGAGATCTTCAGCTAATGGGAATTTCGGTAACCTTGAATGCTTACCTATGCATAACAAACTGCGACAGTGCACATGACCTCTTATAACAAAATCGTCCATGCACAAGGAGAAGGCGACACACATGGGAGAACTGCGTTATCGAGAAATCAGCAGCTAACGAGGCTTGTTTTCCTGAATGTCAAAGGATTTATGGAAGGGGGCACTTTTCTACAGTCAAAGGAATCTGACATTGCCCCAGAAAACCAATTACCTTCATTGGCATCTATCCCAATTCCAGCATGAGCAGCTTGTATCATGCTCACATCATTTCCTCCGTCACCTATCGCGGCCACTCGAAGAGGAGCACGATATTTTCGTAGAAGCTGCACAATCTGTGCTTTTTGTTCAGGAGAACATCGACAGCACACAACAGCAGTGCAAGCACAAACCAGCTCGGCGACCTGATGAGAACTTTGTTCATTAGAAAGAATTCAATCCATTCAAAACGTTCTGTTTAAGTGGTAGACTAGCACTATGACCCACGCGATGGGGCGCATGAAGACTAGTAAGGCAATAAGCCGAAGATTCCCGGAAAGAAGAGGACTCCTACCTCGGCTTCGTAATACTGCAGACAAACGTTGAGAGCAGACCCTTGCATTACTAGAGCTACGTCGCTTTTCCTGAACATAACAAAGAAATGCAAAATCTTCGACGGGTATCTAAATGAATAAAAATGTCAATAATAATAAATGATGCCTACCTTCTCAAAGCATTGAGTTCATTGTGAGCTTCGGTTCTATTCTGAACTGATCCAAATACGTGCACATTATCTGTTCTCGAGAACAACCCGCTCGATTTTGCGATACATATGGCTGTCTCGAGCTTATCACCTGTCAACATCCAGATCTTTATACCAGCGTTGCGAAGAAGTTCCAACGACGTCGTTACTTGATCCTAAATCGGAATCAAGTGAAGATCTCAATGAATAGTAAATAACAAAGCTATCTATATGATCAAGGAACGTGCAGAATGGAAAACTTCAAGTAAATCTAATTGCTCAGATATGAGAATCATTAAGCCATTTTTTCAACAAGATTGGGAACGTAAAAGAGGTGCATTTATATGAACCTGTAATCGATCTTCAACACCAGTGAGACAAAGTAGTTGGAGGTCCTTTTCGAGCATTCGATTTACGCAGCTCTGCATGGTTTGAGACCTGTCCGTTATTGACATTTTTGCAGCATGATACGCGCGATCAAAAGCTTCTAGTTCCGCAGACGAAAGGGTACGTTTAGCCACAACGAGAGTACGAAGACCTGAACAATGAGATAGACAGCGAAACTTGCGAGAATTTCTTCTGAACGCTTACCTTCACGGGCCATATTGCTACATTCTTCTTCAAGCCAATCATTGTATTGCACCATTCCTGACATCACCGTATCCGCCCCTTTCATTAGTAGTGAAATCTCGTCTGTGGTCTCATCCTTAAAAAAGGAATATTTACATCAATCCTGTGGTATGATTATGCAAACGAGATGTTTGCATCATAATGGAATTTTATTCCCATCCTTTTGGTTTCACTAGTGAACGGAAAAATGTGAAGAATCTGAAATAATAGAACTAGCGGAGCAAGTAAATGAGCCAGTATGATAACTGAATCGAAATAGACCTAACAGCCCAACCTGCGGTCACTTAAGTGTTCTCAATGAACTTGAAACTAAATGTAGTGGTAGAGGTAAGAAGTGAACCCATAGGGGTAATAAGGAGAGAGACCCGTTTAAACTTAAGGGCTCACTGATTGGAAGAAGAACAAGCATCGACGGAGAGAAGCAGATGAATACTTCCTATATCATTCTAATGTCACTGGCCACGATTCTTTGGTCATTCTATACGATGCTCTGCTGCCGATATTACTAGGTGAAGAAGGTTGAAAGGTTGATGCTTACGCAGCATCGCATCCCTGTTTGCCTCAAGCTTTACAAAAGTTGGCAAACAAGTCTGGGTTTTATAAGTGCCGCAGTTAAGTATCACCGCGCTTTTGAAAATGTGCCTATTATGAATAAAACCAACTTGGAATTGTCTCGTTTGCCCAATACCAAGCTGAAGTTGTATAGAGTGCAAATCACGCTGAGCTAACCGTACTCCCACCGTTTCCGTCCATTTCACAAGTGCAACCTGAAGAAGCGATGGGAACACATAAGTAAACAATTCCACGTGAAAACACAAAAATCACCTCATCCGGGCTAGCGGCCTGGTACGACACAGTGCCACCCTCCACTATTGGTGTAACATTGTGACAGAGTGCGATAGCCTCTACAGCCGTCTGCAGTTTAGCAGAAAACGAATGCCTAAAAGTTTGCCAAAGCTACAACCAAAATACATCTTAATAATCACTATGGCAAAGAGCAGCACCAAAACTGTGACCACGATTGAAAAGGACCCAGAAAGTAAACCCAACAATTAGAAACAGCGAGTTCGGTTAAGCTAACTATGCACTTTATCTTAGGAAAGCGCAATGTATTTCATCTCGTTCTACTCCCGAAATATTTGTTTCTTGAGCTTGACATCTAACTACGTTTTGATAAACCAAGGCAAAATACCTGGCCAATCGCCCTGAGTAAGCACTAGCCACGTGCTGGGCCACTTCTTCAAATGCGTCTGAACTGAATGCGACTGTGCCAAGATGAATCTGGAAGACTTTTTTTCGAGGAACCACGTCTTGGACAACAATCGTTTAGTCCGACCTTTTTGAAATGCATCTCGTTCTTTGTTAGGGTGCCGGTCTTATCGGAAAGAAGAAACGAAATTCTACCAAGTTCCTCGGGTATTGTCGATGAGCGTACGACGGTATCAGGAATCTGTTTGTCGCGTCCTATTTGCCAAGCAAAGAAGAGCTGGAATTGCAAGACGATCAACGACACATTACCTTACTCAAAAGTGTAACTTACGCACCTTGGCCATGTCGAGATTCACACGCAGCGAAATCGGAATTATATAGGAGAACAACAATACAAAACGCATTAGGTAGCGGTACCAGTTAGTATCTACTCCTTTCATGATGACCATAACGGATGCTAACACCATTACGAAAACAAACAGCAGTTTTGTCAAATTGTTGACCTCAAATATGAATATTAAATCAATATTGGACAATGATGACTTCTTTTCGCTCACCTCCAGATCCAGTAGTCCGACCTTACTCTCCGGCAACGTCGTATTCATCACGGACCGAGTTTCTCTTCCAGTGTATACCACAATTCCCACCGCAGTTCCACTTGCAAGCACGGTGTTTGCCCATAAAACATTCTCCACATTCAAGGACCCATCCTGTACGTGATCCTCAGTGGTGACCTACAAAAGGAAACTAAGCGAAGGTCCACAAAAAAACGATAAAAAGAACATTGACACAACAGTTCCTGGTTCACCTTTATCGTTCCAACAAACGCATGTATATCCTTTTGAGGCTTCTCTGCGTATATTTCACAGTTAATTTCCATTATATCCTAGCAAAACAATCATTTAGTGGTACTTTCGTATGGTTGTGTAATTTAAATATCTTTCGAAAAAGATGAAGTGACACTTACCGCCTCATTCATCAGATGCTGAGTGAACGGCACAGCTATACGTAACTTCCAATCGGTCTCCCCATCGAGTTGATCTGTGCGAATGAAACATGCTCCTGATCGCTCCGTTGTGCGCAAAAGCACAACATCTGCCGGAACACGTCGATCTTTTCCTATTATGATAACGTCGCCCACCTCTATATCACTGAAACAGCATGCAATTGCAATGCAGAATTAGTACTCTGCGGATTCTTTATCGCTCTGACGACAGCGCGAATTTTGAATTTCGGCTGGGATCCGCGTTTTCTTCTTCTTCGAGACTTTCGTCGGACCAAAGACGATTTTGCGCGAAATTTTCCTTGTGTTTTGTGTGGTGCATACACGAAAAGTGGGCGGCTTAGAATAATCTCAACAACGTTGTTGATTTGAAAATGTTATCCATATAATCCAGAAAAAATCAAAAATGAATAAGCGACGAAAAGCCTGGCATGACTCACCTGCTGTTGACTTCGACTCGCGTACCATCTCGGGTTAATCGTTCATACTTCTCACCATTCAACTCTTTATCTCTGAGAAAGCGGACAAAGTCGTCAAGTGCTTCACGGATAAGTGTGATTGTGAGCACGAAACCCTTAATGCGGACATGAATGCACAGACTTCATTCCAACACTCTTTGCTATTAATAAAGCCGTTGACAATGTAAGAAGCTAAAGTACTCTGTGCTTTAGCATTGATCATATGTTTCCGATACAACCCAACTACAAATGATCAAGCATCAGCAATAATGAGACTGGTAGCTGCTAAGGCGAAAGAGGGAGGAGACAGAGGTGTAGTGGTCGAGAAGGTAGGACTGTGATAAGGAAGGCAGCAGAAGAAGAAATGGATATATGAAGTGGGATCTATTGAACGTACTACTGAGCTGACACCAGTAAAACCATAGATCGAACTCACCCAACGGTCCCCAGTATTATAGGTGCGCACGATGGATACGAAGTTATATGAACTGACTGCATGCCATCAACAAGAAATATAAATTCAAAAAGAATTTAAACTGTTGAAAAAGGACCTGAAATATGTCCATGGTACACTCAATCCAAAAAACTTATTGACAAATTAGATCACTCAAATGGCATACCAATGGAACAAAGCTGAAGATATTGTATTTTTGATTAGAGACTTTGTTCGGAGCAAAACCACCCCCTTGGTCGCCGCCCACTGGACCATAGCCGATTCTTACAGTGCGAGAATGCAATACGCGGCGACGACCAAACAACATGCGGCAGCATCTGAAGAGAAGAAATTATATTGTACTGAATCAAAATTTCCGGAAAAGCAAAAGCAAAAAGGTTAGAACGATTGATAAGCAAGCAAAAGTGACCAGGAAGAGAACCCACGCCATAGCATAAGTCATAAAAACTTGTTGGGGTGTGAAATTCTGTTTGAATTGTCATTACAGAGTTGGCTTTGAATCGACTTTTTTGATGTTGTGCTTCAACAAAGCTCTTTTATTAACGCCTTAGCACATGAAAGCTCAAATCAAGAGGTGTCGAAGAAACGAACAGAATCAAAATTTGCGCTATATAACACATCTTACACAATTTCTCCTAATATGCCGGCATAATTGAAATCAGGAATGAATATATTTAATGTCTTTTAGACCGATGTCATAGTTTGCGAATCGAGCGATTCGCCAGCGGACTCGCTGGATCCATGCGTTGCGCCAGCGAATCGAACGTTGCACCAGCGAATCGACCGATGCACGCGAATCGAACGATGTGCCAGCGACTCGACACTGTTTGAAAGTGGTTCAAACGTTTAAAGGAAGTCCACTTCGAAGGACCACACTATTTGAAATTGGCGGGACTTCCTTTATAGTGATATTGTGGTGGTTGATACACTCACAAAAAAACTTCTTTGGCCAAAAACTCGGGAATAAAGCTCTGCTTCGTGGAAATCGGAAGCAGTAACATCTTGCCGCAGACCCATGGAGTTTGCACATCTTCCGATCAGCCACATGTGCTGGGTAGCATTGCCTTGCACACGAAAATGGAAGCATCGGTGCGAACTTGACCGCTTGACCGCCGAACTTGAATTGTTGAATGAAGAAAGAAAAAGAACCAGTCAAAAAGTCGCAAAATTAGCTGCTCACTTTTTTTTAGCTATACTGGGCAATGAGAGTCTGAGCACGGAGGAGAAAGGACAAGCAAGAGAATACAAGGAATGAGAGGGCGCAGACACCCACATGCTGCGAAGGGAAGAATGGAAGTGTTAGAAGCGGTCGTAGTGAGGTTCAAGCACGATTCCCACTCTCAAGCCGGAAAACGGGACATCTGCTAACATCGAGGCCCTATCTTGCCCACCAGAGATGGACCCACCTGAACTCATGATGCGGTGTGCCTTAAAAAAGTGCCCTATGAAAACTGCCATCTAGTTCAGGACTATACTTCGTATTGACTTTCGAGCCTAATTACCGCTGGTCTAACCTGATACGTGCAGGAGCCGATGTTTTTCTCGCAAGAATAAAAGGGTTACTCGAGCAACTTGGTATTAACTGTTTCAAAGTTTCATAGATAATTCTGAACAAAGAACAAAGTATGATAAGGAAAGTGTACTTGGTCATGGCAAATGTGCTGGAACTGCGAGATGATACAGAGGGAAGAAGGTAAATGTCGTCCGATCCGTCCACAGGAACCTAAATGTGTGTATGAATTGGCTTTCGTGGTTTACAAATCGCAAACTTCTGGACATTATTTCGACTGAACATTCCTTTGGAAACCGCCTTAGCGAGTTAGTATTTAAAACAAAAGAAAATCGAATAAAATGCGTACATATCGAAAAAGGAACACTGAAGCAAACTTTGCGTTAATTCAAACGAAACAATCATTTCTTACCACTCAGGGAGAAGTATGGTTAGCTGCCGAAGTGTTTAACATGAAATCAAAAATCGAGAGAAAACCTTAATGAATGATATCGATTCACCGCTGGAAACCAACGTGTCTTGTTTCGATTTTTTTGTTTCCTAACAGCTATTTGCATAAGCCCGATCGCATGTGATCAAAAGTGCATTAGCGAATAGCGCATTGAATACAGAAATTCCGCCAGCTAATTCTCACTGTTTTTACAACGGATGCGAAGGAAATGGTGGCTTAGTCAAATGCCGACTTTCTGCTGTTGCCCTCCTTCCAGAAAAGACAATACACCAGGTCAAGAACCACAAGCGAACTCAAAATTGACCAGCATAAAGCAATTTATTCTTACTCTAATTCTTGTGATCGAAGCTCCGAATTAGGGGTGCGTATAAGGTCTGAATTTCATTATAAGAACGAATACAAGGCGTCAAGCGTTGCTAGTTCCTGAAGACACGCCAGGCACAAGACTTCATGCGGTATTAAAGGAACAATTCCTTGCGTGTTTCTGGGAACGACTGACATTTATACAAATATACCGCATATAAATATAGTAATACCTACGCCGCTCAAAAATGTAACTATAAATAAGACAACAACCCACTAGAACTCGGCTGCCTCGGAATTCGATACCTCCTGAATGATGTTGTAGGGAAATAAAGGAATACGCATGTTAATAACTGTACGTTTGAGAACAAGATTGTACATGCTTCACAACCTTGTGCATATTATGCGCTTACCGAGAAGTTTTAGTTCATCCATCTTAGGGTTGGTTATCCCAACCTCGGTACTCCAACCAAAGTCGCTATTTAGAATGTTGCGTGCTAAAACGATATGCCAACTTTGGTCGACTAATTCTACAAATTTGTGCTTTGTTGCATCCTGCTTCGACTACCCTACCATTTTATTTGAATTTACATGAACAGGGTGTCCCATGAATGTTGCACCACACTCTGCGTGTCGCCTCCTTCACACGCACCTGGATGCGACTCATTCAGAGCGCTAGAAAGGGTGGAGAGAAGCCAATCCAGGACTAGATGTAGAGGCCGTTTGTCCTCAACCTCGAATGAAGGCGATTAGAAGCCGATACGAGAGTGCCCCCGAACATAGCAAGCCTGCGAGAAGACACTCCAAAAGGATTAGCCCGTCGCGAGGGGCCTCGTTGGCCGGGCGGCGCCGTAAGCCATATAGTGCAAAAACCCGCCACCGCGCCCGATCCAATAGGGCGCCGCGCTCCGTGAACGCCGAAGACGCAAGAAGAGACAAACGCTAGGCCAAACCAATAAGAGGGCAGAGTGCAGCCGGAGACGAGCGAAGTCACAGATATATCGCTCCAAAACCAAAAGAGAGGTGCGCACCCTCACAGAAAGAAGCAGAAGGAGAGAACGGCGTTCTAACAAGAAAGAGAGAAGATATAAGATGCAGTAAAGCTGCCCATCCAAATGCACTGACGCGGCCCTCAACGGGAAAAACAAAAAGAAAGGCAATGCAGGGCCGGGAGAGCGGCTCAGAAACGGAACGGCAGTCCAAACGCGGGCAGAGGGGCAAAGACCGACATGAGCGACGAGGAGCATCGCTCCGGCACGGAGGAACGCGTAAGCCGCAAGGAGGGGGGGGCCGGAGAAGGCCGCGCAGCGCCGAGAGGCACCGCTAACGATCAGAGAAATGCCAAAAATAAAGAGCGAACCCTCACTCTAGCCACACCGAGCATATCAACACAACGCCACTCTTTAGAAACCGCAGCCACGTCGTGCGACTCATTCTTTGGCAAAAGAGACGTCCACCGGAGCGGACACACGAATGGCCTAGCCTAAGGCCCCACAACTTCCAGCAAGGTCTGTATTCAACGATGGACAGACCTAATTGAGCATCGAGACACGACCACTGTCACGAAGAGGAGAAGAGAGACTGAGTAGCCAAGCAAAGTGCGTAAACCGCTGAAGGAGCTAAAAGCCCTTTCCCCGCAAAAATTGAAGGAGCAACGGCGGTCGCTGAGCGGGGTCCGAGCGTCTATGAGATTAGTATAGCTATAAGTATGTCGAATTGCGAGTGGACCACGGAGTGGAACACAGAAGCACGGAGGAAACTAGTGAAGTAAGGCACGAAAATCGAGTCCAAGGGGCGCTCAAACGACCGGGGAACCGCTGATAGAGCAAAGCGGTGCCAGGCTGCGTGCCGGCATGAATACAACTCCAAGTAAACATGTGAGACAATGATAGAGCGGACACAATAGGCTTGGTTGGTGTATACTATTGTATAATAGATATAGTATTGAGATCGGCCCCCGCACCCTACCAAACTCGTTGACCGACGGCAACAGGACCGAACGAGACGTGGGAGTTCACGTGCAATAATTAATGGCCAGGTCAGACGATTATACAAAGAAAGGATAGGAACGCCCAAACGGTTAAAAAAACCAAAAGGGAAGCCAGAGCCACGACCGCAGAGCAAAGTGAAAGACCCACCAGAAAGACGGCGAAGAGCCGAGCGCCAAGGTGCACACCAGAAAAGAGCGCGGGGGAGGAAATTAGCGAAGGGAAAAATGGGAATGCATCCTTTGTTCGGGACGGACTGCTCGGAGAAGAGCACTCAATTGACGCGAGGGAATATTGAAAGCAAAGGTCATGGGTTGAGGCAGCCAACATCGTATCCCACAAAAATGCTCAGAATGGGTAAAGAGTTCAATACCATTTCAGGTGAGCTGATCGCCAACTTCTGGATTAGTTGTGCTTTCGTACGAAGTTCGTTCTCAAGGCCCCTTCTCAAGTGCAAACAAAGAAGCACGTTTTGAAGAATTTGCAAGCTCGGAATATTTTGATATGACCAATCTTGAGCAAATCCGATAAAAATCATGATCAATTACGAATTTGAACGCTTTCCAAGTGTTCGCAAAAGACCCGAAGAAGAAAAGCTTCAGTAGGTGTTTTGAGAAGAAAAATGGCCTAATTAGCGGAGTTGGCAGCCTTGAAAACCCAGAACTTCCAACGTCGGCTTTTCATGTAAGTCGAATTGAATGCATGTTTTCGACGCTAATTAAATGTAGACTACGTTGAAGGAATGGAGTTACAGGTTTACAATTCAGATAGCTCACCTCCGAGTCAACCATGAGTGGAAGAAGTCGACTGGCTTCGTCAGCCTCCTCTTGGCAAGTTGCCAATCGGCTGTAGCGCATAAACCGCAAAGTCGTCCAACCACACTACAACGCCGTTTTAATAGCGTGTAGCTGAAAAATCGAAATGATATGAGTAAAGTCGATAATAACCTCTCAGACAGTAGTGAGTAATCGTCGAATGAGATTCACGGAAGAAAAGCACGAACATTTCCAAAAATCAATGTTCAACTAATAAGTGATGAGCAAAAAAGGTAGTAACACGATGGTACTGTACCTCCTCAGAGTATTACTCTCCGTGTAACTCGCGGCTTCTGGAAAGTTTTTGACGTGCAAAAATGAAACGATGTATTCATCAGAATTAATACTATTCAACTGTCATAATCTCGTGCCCTTGCAGCAGTGGAGCCCAAAAAAGTAAGCATTTTCGGCGGAAGGCGGCAATTTTCTGCCCAGCTGCGCTGAAACTGGGTCAAAAGGCGCTGCCTCCAGAAATAAACGTCACATAGAGATCAAACACTGAATAGTCTCTACAGGTACGTTTACAGCAATTTAAAGTTTCACCTAACAGGCTTCTCCGACAGTTGTCCGATTTAGCGATTGCATTCGCAAGTATTGCGTGTCGTTATTCACATTGGTCACAATCGTACCAGTCGCATCGCGAGAACGCTCGGATGGCATACATTCAATCTTGAAAATTGCACGGTCGCGAGGTTGTGGGATCATAACGACTGCAGGGTCGCGCAATCGTCGAACCCCAAGAATTAGATGCGCATCGATCGAGCGACCGTTGAGATAGCACACTGGCCGATGTCAGACTTTGCGATTGGAGCGATTTTGCACCAATTGCAGGAGCGACGGGAGATTTACGAACTGATGGCGCCGAATTATCGGTGGTCGGCGGTGTAAATCTCCCGTCGCTCGCATCGCTCAAGCGATCCGTCGCTCCTGCAATTGGTGCAAAATCGCTCCAATCGCAAAGTCTGACATCGGCCATATTTTATAGGCCGATGTCATAGTTTGCGAATCGAGCGATTCGCTAGCGAATCGCTGGATCCGAGCGTTGCGCCAGCGAATCGAACGTTGCACCAGCGAATCGAACTTTGCGCCAGCGAGTCGAACGATGTACCAGCGAGTCGAACTATGTACCAGCGACTCAACACTGTTTGAAAGTGGCGGGACCCAACGTTTAAAGGAAGTCCCGCCACTTTCAAACAGTGTCGAGTCGCTGGTACATCGTTCGACTCGCTGGTGCATAGTTCGACTCGCTGGTGCAACGTTCGATTCGCTGGCGCAACGCTCGGATCCAGCTCGATTCGCAAACTATGACATCGGCCTTAGCCGGAGGCGATCGTACTTCGAATGACGATTGAGAAAGGCTTCCCCGATTGAGGATGGAGGATCAACAGATAGGGAAACTCGACGCGTATGACCCACGGCCTGGAATGGATGGCGTAGAACTTATCGGCAGAAGATACTTGGTCGCGGATCCAAACTCAAGATAAATAAGCGAAGATGGTAAGACTTGAGCAATCGCGCGATAGGTATGACCGCCCTGCTCTATTTCTGTTATGCAGCGCGGGTTTATGCCCGAGATGGACCTTTTTCGTCGTCGCGCAAGTGATATATCAGATGGTATCGAGCGTACGCATTCAGATGGCATAGAAGTGTTTCAGCTATTCTGCGTTCTTTTCCTCTTAAGATGATGAGACTTGTCAACGTGTTTGCCTTTCGCATAAACTAGGTGTAGAAGTTAGAGATCAACTTGTGGGAACTTTCAGAATGCTGGCAACGAACTGGTAATTTGGTCAGACGATCGCAATGACTTTCGCACTATAGTGGAATTTACTTCTGACGGAGAGTAATATTGCTGACCTAGCGCTAGCTCCCATCGCCATAGAGGTTGATTGGAATACTTTCTGAGGATAAAAAAATGATTCCTCATCGGTCTGGTTTCCGAGCAGGTTTTTTTAGATCAAGAACGTTTATCACGCGCTTCGACTTGCGCTTGAGTGGTAGAAAGCAGAGGACGAAGATGTATATACGAGAAAAGCTGAATTTCTGTTACCTGAATGCGGTTAGGAGGAGATTGGCAATATAGAGATGGTCTTTCAGAAGAAAGCTTGAGAAGGAATACGTAAGCGATGCAGTACCAATAAAAGTAACTGCGAGAGATAGGAATTACAAGTTTTGCTGCTAACCGCTAGGAGCTGACGATGAGAGCTGAGTACCAACACGCTAGAACAACTGCTTATGTCTTCAGCTGGACTCATTTCTCGCTATCGCTTAAAAATACAAGAGGATTGGTTCCTTAAAATATCTAATTTGACTATGGGAACAGCTCTTTTGTGTTTGACGCAGTTTGAGGAAACCAAACGAATCTTTCGCAAGAGTTACACCACAGCTTAAATGACTCATCTGAATCGTGGGTTATTTTCAATGCTTGGAGAAATGATTTTGGATTGGCAACACGGCTGACTGCCCAGATAGACAGAGCTATGAGGAGAATTACTAGATGTGGATGTACATCACCCAAGCCTCACTTGTAGGTCGTGAGGGTAGTTCCACGTGACAAAGTTCAAGGATCAAGCAGTTGACCAGAGGTAAGAATTAGTTCTGCTTTGGTTAGAAAGTCAACACAGCAATCCAAAAGAACAACGAAAACTATAATGGAATGAATGTAGACCTAGCAGAAGCATAGACTAAAAGAGGAATTGAGTGAGTAGTCCGAGAATGAACGCGGTGAAGTCGTCGTCGGGAATGTCGCGAATTCGCATTGGAGCGCGTTATTCCGCTGGCGCTATTGTGTGAACCCCTCGACAAACCAATTCGGTTTGCAAAGCCTAGAGGAGCAATTCAGTCCATGCCCCCTCCCTTCTCAAATCGATGAGCTGAAATGAGGTTTTCTTTTGTGGTGTAGAAGCGTACCCACAGCGTTAATGGCTTTTAAAAACAAGACCCGCAATAAAATTGGGGCTCATGGAAGATCTATTCCAGTTAGGGGGAGGCATCATGATGCAGTTTTTTCAGAAAGCTAGGGTAACTCCGAGCCAGGGGGAGTGTAGCCAGTCTAGGGGGTGGTGAGGGCAGTCACTTGACATGCGTGAAAAGCTGGAATGTTCGAGTTCACACTAGTTCGCCGAGAAACTGCATCATGATGATCCCCCCCCCCCTAACTGGAATAGACCCGAGAAAGCTTGTGTTGGAGAGAGAAAGAGAAGGTGTCCAAATAGACGGTGTTTGGCGCTTTCGCAGCGGGAAAACGCCTCGTTAACAAAGTAATAAGGTGAAAAATGGTATCCAACGGAATCCCGGCATACTGTACCTCGGGGTGTTGAGTGGTCTTCTTCTCAGGAGTACCTTTACAAATACGTCTCGTATTGAAATCTTATTTCACTTGACGAAGCTTGCGGTTTCGCGTAATCCTCTGTTTCAAAAAACCAGGCACCTCGAGTGCAGACCGAAGGAAGGAAGGAAGTGTGAGTTATTGTTACCTGGCGCGCAGAATAAGGGTAACTGACACTCCGCTAGAGAATAACGGCCTAAGCTTACGGGCAGATGGTATGAATTGGGCGCCGATAGAAGTGAAAGTAGAAATGGTAAATGGTGTAGTTGTGAAGAAAAACCATGGGAGACACCCTAGCCTCCTAACACCGTCAAATAGGACCCACGTTCTGCTCGCAGATTTGGACGAGTTCACACGGACGTGTTAGTCACGGATGGATGGCACGATGCCAACAACGTCGTTGACTGATAGCGCATCAAATAGGCAAAGGTACGACCACTCGGAGAGGAATGCTTCTTAAAATGAAAAGCGAACGATAATGATAAGAGTATCAGCTACGCAGCGCCTCTATTATCATCCAGCCATTTTGGGCAAGGTTCTCCACGTGGGCGAAGGCCATCACAGACTAGACCCTGCTTGGCCGCCACGCAGGAGCGGATTTAGGGCTCTCGCAGCGGAAAAAAATTCCGCGCGCGGAAAGCGGAAAGTCGCTTTCTTTCCTAGCAAACCACGCCCCAGCGCGCGTTTCGGCTTGACCGCGTAGGGCAGGCGCGATTTTGCGAGTGCGAACGCCTCACCTCAAATTCTTGAACTTTGAGTGTAACTTTGCAAAACATGAACGGCGCAAAACCATTTCAGCAATATTTAATGCGTAGAATTAATTATAATGGTGGGACTCAGTGGTAATGAATATAAAAACAAATTTAACTCTTTTTCTCTGTAACGAACGCCGAATTTTTTTTTCGACGTAGTTGAGCCATAAAGAAATGAATTTCGCTACCGTTCAGGATGTGTACTCACTTTTTTGTGTATTTTTGATACCCTTTTTTATTTACATGGTCATGGAATAAGGAGAAAACGAGCAATGAACTGAGCTGCTAATTTCGTTACGCTAAGAAAACCTCTGCTCTTTTGACCGTACGGCATACCATGTCGTTTATAGTTAGGTGTGGTTCTTAGAAAATGAACAATTTGGCAAATGACATGCAAGCGCGAGAAGAAGGCATGACATTGGTGGGACGCGCAAGCGCGTCAAAATGTTCGACGTGGCGTGCACAGCGAGGCGCACAACCGCGTCACGCTTTCGTCATTGTGTTAAGTATAGCCTTTCAAGGATTTCTTCCTTTTCAACACCCAGTTTATCGTATCATCTGCTTCACAGAGGAGGAACGCCGAGAAACAAAAAACGTGCTAAACTAGACCTGGGCCCCTGCCGTCCAATTTATGATTACGGTGAACATAACATTGCGCCAGGCAGGGATAGCTGTGTGTAGGCTCATGTATGCACCCATGGAAGCCGCAGGTTCAATTCCTCATCGAAAAAATGTAAGAAGCCAGTAAAAACTATGCTCTACAAAAATTGCAGCAAGTGAAGCGTTAGGCTCAGGTTTACAGGTCGGCTAAAGAGAATCTCGTCGCAAAAAACATATTCAAACGTAGGATCGCAAAATGGGAGGTTAAGGTATCTGATGAGCGCAGAAAATCCAAGTCCTGTGTCGAGAAACGCGCTGGGAAGAAGTCAGGGCAAGAGAATTCAGGGAAGGTGTCACAGAGGGTCAACCGTATGTTGGTACAAGTACCAAACGAACGGGGGGAGAGGCCGTATTT